TGGGGATTTGGGTCTGGAGGAGGAGATATGAGTCCCAGAAGGGGGAGATTTGGGGCTGGGGGGCACGGGATTTGAGGCTGAAATCTGAGTCCTTGAGGAAAGAATTGAGTCCTGGGCAGGGGGGGGAAGATGTGGGGCATGGGGGATACCTGGGTCCTGGGGGGAGATTTCAGTCTTGAGGGAGATGGGGACCCCTCCAACGACAGCGGAGGGAGCTGGGGAAAACGGGGGCCCCCAAAATAGGCAGGAAGGGGAGAGTGGGGGAGGTAAGCCCCTACCCCATCCACCACCCCTTCACCTCTGCGGGGGTCCAGGACCCCACCTCCAGCCACAGAGGCCCCGGGGGAGGCTCCAGGAATTTGCCCCGGGAGCAGGGAAGCAGGTCGTGCCCCCCACGCTGCCAGGCCTGACCCTCACCTCTCCGCGGGGCAGCGGGGGGGATGCAGGCACGTCCCGCGGCGTTAACAAGAGCCACCATTGACGGTGGCATTTCCCCCGCAGGAGGGGGACACAGGGTGGAGGGGAGACACATGCCACCACAGCGGTGACACAGAGCAAGCGGCAGCCCCAGGACCTGGCAATCGTTAACCGCCCCGGCCTCATCAGCAGTCTGCTCACGCCGCGGCCGGCCGGGGTCGGACACCGGGATGGTGGGCAACCACCCGCTGGACCATCCCTTCAGCCTGGGGGAACCACGGCCCAGGACCCCCCCTCTCCCACCCTCATGCCGAACAGGACCTGCCCTACGCCCTCTCCAAATATTATGGGGGTTTCTGGCTCCAGAGGCGTGGGGCAGGATTTATTTACTCACATTCCCCGGATGGTTATGGTAATGACCAGGGCCAGACACACGCGGGAACAATTCGAGGGCCTGTTTGGGGGGTGCCACGGGGCTCAATGTCCTTCTTGTTCAAGGACAGTTCCCTCCTCCCTGAAAGCCTCCGTCCCTTCCCACGCTGCACGAGCACAGTCCAGGGGATGCTATGCAGCTTACGTGGAGGTTGTAGTGCCCCCAGGACCTGCTTGCCCCCGCAAAAGTCCCCCTTGGCCCCAGAGAACACCTCGCCGGGGTTGCAGGGCTGCAAAACCCTCCGTGTGAATGTTGGCAAGGAGGGAAGGATGTGTCCCAACCCGGGATGACAGCTAAGGGCAGGGACGGGCACAGCCTCCAATTCCCTGCTCAGTAAGTGACAGTTTAAAAAAAAACAAAACGCCTTTATTCACCCATTTTCTGCAGAAGGCACTTAAATAGCCGCTGGTTCAGCTGAGCAGAAAGGCACATGTCTGCTACCATAGCACCGGGTCCTCACCCCTAAAAGAGCATCCCTCCCCTGTCCCCCGTATCACCCCCCGAGTCTCTGGGATACCCCCAGGTCAGCCCCACAGGGGGGGACACTGGGTACCACAGGGATGGTGCAGGGCCTCCTCCAATTCCCCATCCCACAGCAGCTGGGGGCAGAGGGGGGCCTGGCTGGCAGCCCCACAGCTGAGCAGCCAGAAGCCACAATGCTGGTGTCACTGGTCCCAGCAGGGACATCCTGGTGGTCATGGGACATCACAGCTCATCCTTCCCCACTGCGACAGCAGCCGGTGGTTCCTGCTCTGTCTCAGTCTCCTGCAGCAAATCCCCATCTTCTGTCCCAAAAAGCATCTTCACCAGGTCATCTGCCTGCACACGCTCCTGTGGGGCAGACCCTCAGGGATAAGCATGGCCACTGTCCCCCCCCAGAAAACCCCACCCGATGCCGGGGAGGGAGCTTACCCGCTCGCTGTGTCGAGGGTCCAGGGTGAACCAGAGGGCGATGGCGCAGCGTTGGCCCTTGGTCACAGCTTTCACCCCATGGGGGTTCTCAGAACCGGAGGAGAAGCCCACGGCACGGCCACACTGTGGCTGAACCTCTGCCTGTGATGGTGGGGGAGGAGATGAGTTGGTCCCCCCCAACCCAACCTCATCCCTCGTGGTGGCATGGGGGATGGTGGCGGGTTTGGTGCTGCACACAGATCCTCAAGGAACCAAGCCACCTACAGTTTGGGTCTTGGCATCCAGCTCGGTGAAGTAGAAAGCTCCTCCTTCAAAGTCCCCGTTGAGGTAGAGGATGGCACTAAAGGAAGCAAGGAACAAGCAGAGGTGACATCCTTCACCACAGCTCCAGCAAGCGGACGAGTCTGGAGCTCCCCTAACACCATGGCAAGAGCCAGAGGCAGGAGAGCCCAGGTTGGGTTGTCTCCCCACCACACTCCTCCCAACCCAGGTGCCCTCAGGTGGGGAAGCTCTGGCCGATAGACACCACTGGTACCTGTAATCCCGGAAGGTGTAAGCTGGAGGTTCCTTCACGCACACCAGGGCCTCCGCGTTGAGGATGCAGTTGTCCACGTGCACCTCGTGACTGTTGTCACTCCGGCCTTCTTGTTTCTCTAGGGTGGAACGAGACCTGTCATGTCAGGACCACAGGGTCTGTCTCCAAATGTCACATGCTTGGAGGTGACAAGAAAGTCTCCTGTAGCCTAAAGCCCTTCTGCTTGCTGGGGTGTGGAGCATGAGAGGCCATTCGGGTGGTGCAAGCCTCGGTTGACTTGTCCCATGGCGTCTCCATGGCCCTCCAGACACAGCCTTTCCCAGCACCTGATCCCAAAAGCCTCTGAGTACTGAAATCTTGTATGGCATGAAGCCACCTGCCCCATTGGAGGCAACCAAGGGAGATGCTCATCTTTCCAAACCAGGCTTAGGGATAAGCTCCCCACACCTTCCTTTCGGGAAAAGGAACAGGTTAGGGAGCAGCAAAGCGGTCTTCAGTCTCCAAGACCACCCCACCCCAGCTGTTGGAGAGGACCCAGACAGGACAAGAGGCTGAAGGAGACTTGCTTCTCCTCAGACTGTGCTCCTCTGAGGCCGTGCTCACCGTCGATGGCCGTGCGGCACACTAGGTGGGAGTAGGAGAAGTGGAGCGGGACCTCCAGGCGGAAGTAGGACTCCATCATGTGCCGCACCTTCTCCGTCACGTTGTAGTAGAGGTAGGCGCTCTGCAGGGGCACCTTGCCCTCCTGGCCCAGCTGCAGGGGATGGACAGGACACGGCCTCAGCCCCAGGCAGCTTGGGCAAGCACAGGCAGCTGCCTGCCGTCAGACCCCCTTCCTTGATCTCCACAGCCTGTTTCTCCCCCCTCCCCGCAGGCACCATAACCTTGAGGGCCTTGAGGACAGTCACACCATAGAAGGTCTCACTGGGGGTGTGAGGAGATGTCTTCCCACGATAGCCATCTCCAGCCGAGGCAGCTGCCTGCAAAACCAATCAGTGTTACCAGTCTGACTTCTGAGCTGCAGGATGGGACTCCAGCATCCCCTGCCCGCTCCTGCCATCCCCACGCTCACGTTGGTCAGTCTCTGCAGCTCCCGGCACTCCTCGGCAGAAAGGACTCCGTCCACCACAACGCGCTGGGAGCCGTTCAGGGTCTTGGAGTTCATGGTGACACTGGCTCCTTCGTACACCAAAGGACCACCTGTGGCACAAAGGAGGACCCAGAGGTGGGTGCCACCAACGCTGGGGTACGGCACTGGGGGAAGCTGGGAGCCTGCCACCTGCTCCTGCCACCTCCCCTGTGGAGGGACCATGAGCTGGCAGCAGGGGACATGGAGGTCCCCATCCCACTTCCCCTCCTGGCCCTCCACACCTTCTCGGATGAACTTGCTCATGTCCGCAGACTCCTTGGCCTTCTCCTCCACCAGTGTCTCGATCTCCTTCATGAGGTTGCCAATCTCCTCCGAGATGCGCGCTGCTGTCTCCCGCTCCACCCTGGGAACACAGCAGCTATCAACTCCCCTGCCCCACTGTCCCCATGTTGGGAACGAGGGGCACCAGGATAAGGGCAGGACAAGTTGTCTCCAGGGGATGGTGACAAAGCCCAAGGCTGGAGAGTCTCCCCTCAACACATCCCTCATCTTGAGCTGCTTGGCATGACCTACGCATCCCCATCATGCTGAAGGCCGATGTGGAGCAAAGTTCTGCTCTCCAGCAACATCTCCCAGCCCCAACATGAAAAAAAAACTCCCTGGCAACAGCTCCACAGCCACGGCCTTTGGTCCAAACCCCACAGAGGAAGAAGGGTATGTCCCGTTGGGATTGGGTAGGCTTGGCCAGTGGCTAGGGAGAGCACTCACTTTTGTTTCTCTCGCAGCCTTTTTGGTATCACCTCTTCGGGTGTCCATGTGTCCTGCAGCCAAGAAGAACACCAGGAGCTGGATGAGGATCTGACTGGGACACAGACCCCTCATCCCCTTTCCATGTGGCTGCTGCGTCCAGCCTGGTCCAGCAGCACTCACTGGGTCCACAAAGGGGATGCCGAAGACATCGTAACTGAAGAAGAGCAGCTCTTTCTCCATCAGGCTTCGCTGGCGGTAAGCCTGGATCTCCTGTGGAGAGGGGCAGAGAGAAGAGGTGAGGGCAAGGCATGAGGGCTCTGAAAAGACCCCGAGCGAGGGCAGGAGGGTGCAGGGTTTACATCATTCCCACGGTCCTTGCTCCAGACCCGCAGCCCTGGTTTCCCAGTCCCTCTGGCAGCCGGGAAGCAAGTGGCTTTCCCCATCCTGCACGAACTTCCCTGTCCTGTGTGGACGAGCCCTGGGGAGACACAGGCACATGTGTGTCCCTCCTGCAGGAAGCTCTTCAGACAGATTCCCTTCCACGCTGCTGCTGACATGGGGCAGAGACTTCCATCCCTGCCTACCACTTCCCAGGCAGCATCCGAGCATCCAGATCCAGCTATTTTAAAGCCAAATCCTCTCCTTTTTAAGCAATTTCACTTCAGTTGTGGAAGTGTGTAGCAGAGGTGGGCTCAGATCCTCCTAAAAAATCTGTCTATCTGCCTCTTGCAGACCTCTCCCGCAAGAGTCGGTCTGTTTGTGCAAGCCATCAAGCCTTCACTTGGCCAAAGATATTTGCCAGGGATGTTTTTTCAGTCTCTCAGCCATCTTCCAGCTTGTTGGGTCTTGCATCCACTCATTCCTCTCCCCTTTGCCAAGGAAGGGTGGCTGGACCAGAGAAAACCCATCCAGAGCAGACCCCAAAACCTCTGCAAAGTTCCCCAAGGAGGGGAGATGTCCCTTGAATAGCTCATCCCAGCCGGTCACTCACCTCTCGGGGTTGGATGGGTCCTGCCAGGTTTTCTCCCAGGACAGCGGTGTAATAGGCCAAATTCTGGTTCATCACCTCATCGTTTGGGAAGAACAGCAAATAGGTTTTGGTGCATTCAATGGCTTTTTCGTAATTCCCATCTGCAAAGAGAAATGGGGCTGCTAACGGCACATCCAAGAGCACCAGAGACAGAACACACACAGACACTGAGAAGAAACAAGAGGGAAAGGCCTTATTCTCCACAAGGTCTCCTAAGTAGGGCAGATAATGCCCTGGAGCAAAGATTACTCCTGCCACAAAGGCAAAATAAGAGTTCAAGGCACTCTCCTGCCTCCAGAAATCACCTCACCAGAAATCAGGGCCATTGCTTGGGTAGTTTTCTTGCTTGGAAAACATCTTGAAGCCTATTTTCAGGCAGCAAGACCTAAATTTCCAGGATAACCTACAATTTTCAGCCACTTAAGCACCCTTACCCGCTTTCATCTACAGGATTGCAGCCTTTCAATCTTCTTGAACATTTATTTTTCCCTCCTTTTGGAGAAATTTGTGCAGAAACAGTTTAGATTTTTCTAAGGAGGTGAATAAAAAATAAAATTGAGTATATTTGCCTGGGTTATAACTGTTCTAAAGGGGGAGGGTGGCTCTGTGGTTTGGAACAAGAAGTGGATAGCTGGCAGGAGGAAAAAAAAAAAAAGCCTCTCTAGGCTGTTATTTCACTTGGAAAGAGAAGCTGCCCAGGAATTGAGCATCTAAAGTGACATAGAGGTTACTGCATCCAGGCGCAGCGAGATTCAGATCTGCTGCAGAACATTTCAGGCTGGCTTGTGTGAACCTTGTGAAGCTCAACAAGGTCAAGTGAAAGGTCCTCTGCCAGTATCAATAAAGATGGGACTGGATGGGTTTAGAGTAGCCCTGGGGAGAAGAACTTGGAGATACTGGTGGATGAAAAATTGGACATGAGCTGGCAACATGCTCTCACAGCCCAGAAAGCCAACCATCTCCTGGGCTGCATCAAGAGAAGTGTGGCCAGCAGGTCCAGGGAGGTGATGTTCCCCCTCTACTCCACTCTGAGGAGACCCCCCCTGCAGTGCTGTGCCCAGCTCTGGGGTCCACAGCACAAGAAGGACATGGACCTGTTAGAGCAGGTCCACAGTAGGCCACAAAAATGGTCAGAAGGATTGAACACCTCTATGAGAAAAGGCTGAGAGAGTTGGGGTTGTTGAGCCTGGAGACAAGGAGGCTCCAGGGAGACCTTCTTGCAGCCAGGGGGCTTATAGGAAAGAGGGAGACAACGTTTTACCAGGGCTTGTAGTGACAGGACAAGGGGCAATGGTTTTAAGCTGAAAACGTGTAGGTTTAGGGTGGCCATAAGAAGGAAATTTTTTATGAGACACTGGCACAGGTTGCCCAGAGAAGTTGGGGATGCCCCATCCCTGGAAGTGTTCAAGGTCAGGTCAAAGGGGACTTGGAGCAACATGATCTTTTGCAAGATGTCCCTGCATTTTGGGTGGGACAACGTGATCTCTGAAGGTCCCTTCCCAACGCACACCGCTCTGGGAGTCTGGGATTTCTGTTTGTGAAGAACAGCCGTGCAGAGCACGATGTTCAGTGCCAATGGAGGACGGGGCAACAAGCTGCTTACTGTTGTAGTAGGCAAACTGCAGGTAGTTGAAGTGTGAGGGCAGGAAATCCTCCATGGGCTTCTCCCGGCCAGGCTGGGAGGCCAACTCCATAACACAGCCTTGCTTGCAGCTTAGCACCTGCATGTAGTGATCTGGTGGAAAAAAAAAACCAAACCAAAATATGCCTGTGGTCAGCCAAGGGCTGGTGGACAGGACCTTGAGGGGTCTCCACGCCAACCTCCTGCTTGCAGTGGGGCTGCTGCCAGGTTTTTGATGGTGGAAACCCTCAAGGATGGTGGTTGCCCACCTCTGCGTGGTCTGTGGTGAGGCTGTGCTGCTCCCTGGAGACAGAATGGCCACCCTCAGCCTCCCACCCTTGTGACCCTCTGCTGGCCCCTCTCCTGTTTTGCCATATCCTCCTGGAATTTGGGGAGTGCTGAGCGCAGGCAAACGCCTCCTGCCACGTAGGGGCCACATTCCTCCTAGTGAAACCCAGGACGGGGTTTTCCCTCTTTGGGGGGGTCCCTCCCCTCCACCCAGTCTTTGGGGACCACCCCCCCCAGGATTTTCCCCAGCTCTTGAGATGAGCCGCAGCATGCACAGCTCCCACCTGTGATGGCCTGGAAAAGGTCCGCGTTGTACTCCAAGTAGTTGTAGCCCTCGTAGTCGTAGGGTCCCTCGCAGAGCGCGCGGCACTCTGCGTCCGCCACAAAATACTCTTCCAGCGCTTTCTCCAGGTGTAGGATGGCAGCAGCCGGCTGCTCCTCCGTGTAAAACCGGACGCCCAGCCGAAACTCGCTCTGTGTAGGGATGAGAGGGGGCTCAACACCCCGTTTGCTGCAAGAGAGCAGCTGTGGCACCTCGTCCTCACAAGACAGAGCCTCAGCACCAAGGTGGCATCTCAGGGACTGGCTGAGCCAACAGACTCAAGCGACCCCCCGGGTCCAGCAGCCAATGGGCGTTCAGGGGGGGGTTGCCTAAGGTGTGTGGGGGTCTCACCAGGTGGGGTTTGGCCTCCAGGTCAGTGAAGTCGTCCTCGCGGACGCCGGCCATGGCTTGGTAATACTCCAGGTTCTGCCTCATCTCCTGGTGCCCGGGGTTGGCCACGAAGAAGGTGTGTGCGGCCGCTGCCGCCTGCGCCGGCCGGTTCATCTGGGAGCGGTGGGATGGGGTGAGACCGCGTCCGCCCCACGATGCGGCCCCCCCGTGGGCTGTGGAGGGGCCCCGCG